GATCTTTTCCCAAGGTCAAGTCTGGTGCTCATCTTAGTATAGTATGGTCAGGAGACCTGCTGTATCAGACTCTCCCCAGGAGCTTGTTCTGGACTCCACACTGGCACTGAATCAGAACCTCTGGGGACAGGACCCCGGGTTCTTCAAAATCCCCCGAGGGGACTGAAGTTTGATTACTGGTCTGCAATCCCTATACCCCAAGTGATGGTGCTAGATCACTATGTGCCAGAGGAAGGGGAATGGAGGCATTGATGCTGTGAGGTAAGACACAGAAATGATTCAGTGTCAGTGGGGTTGGAGTCCCAGGGCTTCTGAGGGGCTATCCCAGGCTTCACTGTGCCACCCCGCAGGCAGGGGGACTTCAGGGTGGGCTTGGTTTCATGAAGGACTGTAGAGGTGGGAAGCTAAGAGATTTGGGGGTCACCTGAAAGCCCCATGCCAAGCATGACATCAGAGGAGAAGAGCACTCTGAGGGGCATCTCGGGGACCCACCCAGAGTGTCAGCACTCAGTGCACAGTGGGACCAGCACCAGTGGGGATCCCGGTATCAGAAAGAACAATAGTGATGGAAGTAACTGTGCCCTAAAGATCAGCTGTTTGGGCCTTAAGTAAATCCCATGGTGTCATCAATAATCCAAAGGAGTGGAGGTCTCCCAAAAAGACCAGCCCTGCTGAGGAAGGGCTGGGATAAGATTTAATTTTGTTTTAAAAAATACAGAAATGTGTCATTTCTCACATTTAGGTGTCACAGGGAAATTTGTACCTATCTCATAGATAACATACACACCCCCAAAAAATCCATGAACTACATTTCTGCTTGGCTTATGTGAGGTCATCATTAAACCTGTGCGTTTACGAAAGAGGATTACCTGAATCTGACTCCAAGCTTCCCCACATGAACTCGGGAAGTCTAGGCTCCCTTCAGCTCAGTGCTTGGATATACGTGATGTGTGCCTTTGCCCTTTATGTAAGATGGGTCTAATTTACACACTGAAGAAGAATCAACCAGGATTGGACTTGCTATTGTACAAGTATAGATTCCTTTTATTAGCATTATGACAGCATTTCCCCAAATATATTCTGTTGAACAATCTTGTAAGATGTGCCTAAGGGTATCTTGGACAAATAGGTATGGGAAACATTGCAAACTCTATTCCTACATCCCCAGAGACTGAGGCTAATTACCTCTGCTACTATAGATTCTACTGTTTACATGCAGAATACAGGTTGTTTAGAAACCTCAGAATTGAATAAAGACTTTTTGCAATTTTTAGCCTGTTTTTGGCCACTGAGGGGAACTCCTTTGGCAGGGAGTTTGGTCCACCCTTTGGCCAGGGCATTCAGGCTAGATTACTCACCAGAACGGTACTTAAACTATCCAAGGGGACTACTTCAAACTAAAAAAACTTCTGTATTACAAAAGAAACCACCAACAAAATGAAAAGGCAACCTACTATATTGGAGAATCTATTCACAAATGATGTATCCGATAAAGGGGGCTAGTATCTAAAATACATAAAGAGCTCATACAACTCAACACCAAAAAAAACAAATAACCCAATTAAAAAATGGGCAGAGGACCTAAATAGACATTTTTCCAAAGAAGAGATACTGATGGCCAACAGACACATGAAAAGATGCTCCACATCTCTAAGCATCAGGGAAATGCAAATCAAAACACAATGAGGTATCACCTCACCCTAGTCAGAATGGCCACTATACAAAAGATAAGAAATAACAAATGTTGGCGAGGATATGGAGAAAAGGGACCCTCCTACACTGTTGGTGGGAATGTCAATTGGTGCTGTCACTGTGGAAAACAGTATGGAGGTTTCTCAAAAAATGAAAAATAGAAATATATATGACCCAGCAATTCCACTTCTGGGAATGTATCTGAATAAACAAAATCATAGATTTGAAAAGATACATGCACCCTTATATTTACTGCAGCATTATTTACAGTAGCCAAAATAGAAAAGCAACCAAAGCATCTATCGATAAATGAGTGCAAAAAGATGTGGTACATATATACAATGGAATCTTTTTCAAGCATAAAAAAGAAAGAAATTTTGCCATTTGCAACAATATGGATGGACCTAGAGAGTATAGTAAAATATCCTTTAAGTGAAATAAGCCAGGCAGAGAAAGACAAATACCATATGATTTCACCTATATGTGGAATCTAAAACAAAACAAAACAAATGAAGAAAACAGAAACAGACTCACAGTCACTGAGAAGTGACTGGCGGTTACCATGGGAGAGGGATTGGAGTGGGTGGGTGAATGGGTGAAGGGGATAAAGAGGTACAAAATCTCAATCACAACATAAATTAGTCATGGAGATGAAAGTATAGACAGACAGTATAGCAAAAATATCAACAGTAATACTATAATATCTTTCTGTGTTGACAGTAACTACACTAGTCAGAGTAAGCATTTAATAATGTAGGTAACTGTTGAATAACTATGCTGTATACTTGAAACCAATATAATAGTGAATATCAAGTATACTTCAATTAAATAAATAAATAACTGCCCAAGGGGAAGGTAACAGTTTAGAACAGAGTAGGACAGTCTCTTGTTAGGTAGCCCCTCTCTCCTTCTAGACATCCTCCTAGGACTAACCTCTGAAGGCTCTGGGTTTTTGTTTGAACAAAGAAAACAATGAAACATAGCTAAAAATTTTTGAGCTTTCATCATCAGCCAGGGACCTTGCTTTGTATGTATTTCCCCGTTTTTTTTCCCTGTAAAAACCTGTAAAGTAGATCAATTCTTAATTCATTTACTCATTTTCTTCATTCAGATGAAGAAACTGAGCCTGAGGAAGATGAAGTTACTTGCCCGTTACCCACCTGGGCACACATGGAGCCGGGACTCAAATGCTGCTGGACTCCAGAACCACCCCCTCTCCCAGCCATCTCCCCATCTTTGCATCCCCCTCTCCCAGGGCTGCACAGTCCACATCTGCCTTCAGTCACAAAAGAGGGGGATTCTTTGTGTCCTCTTCTTTCCTGTACTCACAACTATAACCAGAAGCATCTGTGAAACCCTACTGTCCCATTTATCAGCTGGGTGCTGTGCTGTTCTGCATACAAACAGGGGAATGGACAAGATCACTATCAACCTGATTTTTTATGAGTCAAATGTTATCTTCAATAGCTGAAATAGCACTTCTCATTGCCTAGCCTGTACAGAGACTCTCAAAGGCACAATAAAGGAAATCAAGTTAAGAGTTCCCTTCTTTGGCTGCCTGAAGAGATAATATTGGCATTTTCCCATCTGCTAATGTTTTTTTAACTGGCTTTAAATATTCCAAGAGACAATGATCAAGGCAGGTCCAATACATCAGCAAAGTAGGTGAGTGTCATGGTGGGATCCAAGCTGTGAGCTGGATAGGCACTGAGAGACCCACCCACACCAGAAAATCTCACCCACATGCCGGTCAGCCTCATGCCTGTCATTCTCCCTCAAGCATTGTTGGAACCATTGATGTGCAAACAAGCCCTAATACCACCTCATCTGTGCATAGCACCTTTTAATCTTATACAAATTTGAAAACTCTTTAGAGATTACAAATCACATTTATTTCATTCTGTCACTTAAAAAACCCTGTGAGGTTGGTATCACTTTTCCTATCTTACATGTGAAGATTTTAAAGCTCACTAGTAATTAGCAAAGCCAGGACTAGTATCTAAAGCTTTGAACTCTAAGACCAGTGTTCTCTGGATGCAAGATATTTGTGCCTATCAACATGTCTTACACAATTCCTTCACCTGCCAGACAGAAGCCTGAGCCTAGGACAGGTAAGTTTTGACATGTGTACTGAGAAGAGCCAAGTCTGGTTTGAACTGATCAGCTGGGCATTGGCCGAGAACCCAGACACAAACCCTAACACAAGCAGGTGCCCTGGGTCCTGCTTCTCTTTCTGTCTGCATTCTGCCTTGACCTCCCCACGTGGCCCCTCAAGGTATGCTGGGCTGTACACTTTTCCAAGACTGGTGGGGAGCCCTTCTCTATTTCAGTTTCTCTTGCAGGCCATCCATCGACTTAACAAATGTTTAACAAGGTCATAACAATCAGTTGCTACCATCCTTATGGACAATAACCTTGACTGAGACTCAGCTAACTCAGACATGGCATCCCCCAGCGCTAAGTGAAGGGCCAACTGGGGTGTACTGCTCAGGCCCCCGGCCGGCCTCCTTGAGTCACATAATCAAGACAGCTGGAGGCTCTGGTTTCACTTTTTTTCCACCTCAGCTCAGACCTACTTTTGCCCAGTCATCCCTCAAATAAGCCAAGCTCCTCACACTGCTGGTCCCAAATACTGAAACACATGATGGCAGGCCACCAGCTCCATCTTATAATCAAATAGATGAATCACAAGGCAATTTCCTTTGGATTTGTTTAATAGGATTTCCATCCCTACCTCATTGCCTTGTCCAGCCTGATGTTATAAAGAAAAGAAATGACTGCTTTCAAGTATACCTGATTGCACTTTTTAATCACCTAACAGCTGACTGCTTGAGTTGCACCCTTGCGGCTCTGTGCCTGGCCTGTCTACCACACACTTGCTCTTCCTTGGGGTCTGTGTGAGGTACTCTTTGCCAACAGTCACATAAGGGCTGTAATTCCCTCATCAGACATTTATTTTAAAACATCTGCCATCTGTACTACATTTGATCCCTGCCTTTAAAGGAGGCTGGTGTAAACGTAAGTGTGTGTGTGTGTGTGTGTGTGTGTGTGTGTGTGTGTGTGTGTGTGTGTGAGAGAGAGACTCCCAACATCTTTCAAGAAAGTGCCCTCCAAAACTGTTTCCGATTACCCACAAGGCAGCCAGATTTCTCCAAGTCAAACAACTGCCTTAGGGCTTCCAGGAGGACTTCTCAGTCCTACATTTCAATTTTTCTAAAAGCCTCACAAGGGGGTAGCTTCTCTACTCCCTTGATTCAAAGGGTTAAAAACAAGCACAACAGACAAAGGCACATTTTTGTTTGACTTACTTGAGCACAATCCCAGCAAACTTAAATTACAACCTGTCTTCAGTCTCAGAAAGGGCCTGCACCTCTTAACTACTCAGGTTCCTTGGCAGATGCTGAAGTAAGACCACGGGCAGCAGCCCCGTTTTTGGAATAACCAAGGAAGTGCAGCAGGATGAGAGCCCATTCGCTATTTGCGCTGTAGTGCTCTGCCTACTTCTCCTTTACCTGTGAGGCCTCTCGTCCCCACCTCTACCCACTTCCTGACACACACCCCTGGACACACACACACATGCACGCACACGTTCACATGCACACACACAGCAGCACTCCTTGGCTAAAAAGCTCAGGTCTGTGGTTTGCGTGCATTTTTCCCTAGCCATATTCTGAGAAAAGCAAGTATCCGGTGTTTACTGCCGTATTCCCTCAGGAGTTACTTGACAATTCGTGGTGGTTTAGGGTCTCTTGTTCTGCGGCCATTTTCCAGGCAGTCCCAAGTCCACACCCTCATTCCAGAGTGATCCTGTAACCAGGGCCTGCCCTAACCCTTGGGCCTGACCGGCTGTGCTGCCCTTTTCCCTCTGTCATGTGCACTGCTCTCAGGCTGTGGGAGGCAGCAGGCCTCATTGCACTCCTTGTCCAAAACCTTGACCACTTCCAGTTCTGTGCACTTGGTAGACCCAACCCACACGCCAATGGACTTTCTGAGTGGATGTCTCCCGACGAATGACTTCCTTCCTCTGCCTGCAGCTGTTACTCAGGACTCTAGGCGAGGTACTGGCCCTTCCTCACTGGTCTCCTGGAGGGGGTCCCATGCCTTCTGGCTTCAGTCAGGTCAGTTCTCTCTGGACAGTGTCCAGAAGCAGCACCACTGATCCATCACATCCCTGTTTGGAAATATTCAAACACCTGCACTGCCTCCTGAACCAAGTCATACTGAGCCTGGAAACATGCGTTCTACGACTGCACCCCATCTGGTCTTCGGGTTTACTCACAGCCCATCTCTTGGATAGACAATAAATAAAGCACTTTAATCCTCATGATAATGCTTTGAGATGGCTTATATCCTTATTTTTCAGATGAAGAAATTGAGGCTTATAGAAGCTAAGTAAGTTGCCCTAAATAACTCAAAGTACTCTATTTCCTAGAGTGGCTGACATTTGCCATTAAATTTGTGGCTTAAAACAACGTGTTCTCTTGCAGTTCTGGCAGCTAAAGACCTACAGTCACGACGCTGGCAGCACCACACTCCCTTGGAAGGCTTCGGGGAGAGTCCTTTCTCCCTCCTCCAGCTTCTTGTGCTCCCAGGCATTCCTTGGCTTGCAGCTGATCGGACCACCAAGCAAGGAATTCTTTCCCCTACCCAAGCTCCAGCTGCCTTACTTCACATTGTCTCTGAGGGCCCTTTCCGTCTCCTACCTCATATTCTGGGTTTTTGTGCAGTTGTCTTCATTCACCACCATGTCCACTTCCCACCAGTATATCCAACTCTACCATAAGCTTCTGAAAGGCAAACTGCCCTGGCCCAGCGCATAGTCTGCACAGCACCTTGTCCAAGCAGGAGTGCCCTAAAGTTAGCCGAGTGGATTCACAGCTATCTGCTTCTTTCCCTGTACTGAATAGTTCAAGTATTAGTGAGCAAAAAGGTAGGATGCTTAAAAGCCAACTTTTCTCCAGTGTTCCCACTTCCCCAAAATGGAATTTTTAGAAATAGTTTAATTTACTCTTCCACATTAAATCCAATCATTCTAACAGTAATTTTTTCCTCCATTTGAATTTTATCTAATGGCAGCAAATCCAGTCCCTTCCAGGTATAATCTTCCAAGTTTTTTCATTTTATTCACATCTGCAATGTCACCTCCTTTGGCTCTTTGGAACAAATTTACTGTCCTCAGAGTTCTGAGGACAAAGACAATGTCTTAGTATTCTATTTCTTGTATCCGATGGTGCCTGGATGCCCAGTAATGTCTGAAAAATCTATGAGGGAATGAAGGCATGAATGCCACATTAGAATAGAAGTAGTCAGTTCTTCTGGGATGATAACTTTTTCAGCCTCACATCATCCTCACAACCCTGTGAAGAGGATTTATTCCCATATCACAGTGGGAAAGCTGAAGCTCACAAGGGAGTTCCTCCTGCTCACACATCTAGTAGGTGATGAAACCAGACTGAAACCCAGGTCTGACTCCAAAGCTGTGTCTTTTAACCAAAAAGCCACTGACAGGTAAATGTAGTAACCACATTATTTTTTCATGTGAAACCTTCATAAGAGTGTATATCAATCATACCTTAACAAAAAATTGAAAAAAAAAAGCCACTGATTGGAATGCAACCTGCATTGTCCTGCCTGGCTGAGCTGAGAGAGTCCTAGTACAAGCCTGAGCAGGTCCCTAAGTTGGCCATTTGGCTGGGTTTTGGATACTAGAAGATGCAAACAACTCAGTCCCATCTTGACTCCATCCTAGCCTGGACACTCAGCATCTGAATAACCTGGGACAACTTAGTTATCACCCTGAATTTGTTTGAGTAAAATGGCCCAACAATAGGGCCACTGGGAAGATCTATTCAAGAAGAAACAATATAAAGTCCCCAAAATACACAAGGCACTGCACTGAAGGGAGAAGAGGGATAGAAAGGAAAAGCAGTGGTTTTTAATGGATTTTAATGGGTTTCTATTCCAATTGGGTGAGACAAATATGGAAAATTATTCTAATTTATGCAAAATGGAAGACATGTGACAATGAAACTGACATCCCTGAGCTCTTTCAGTATGGCAGTTTAAAAGGTGGTTGTCTCACACAGTAGGTATTATTAGAAACCCCATTTTGCAGATGAGAAAACCAACTGTTAGAAAGGTTTAACCTTTACTCCAAAGACACACGGATGTGAAATGGCACAGCCAAGATTCACCCCAGGCCTATGTAATCCTCCCTGTACTGTTTCTTTGAGTAATTCAAAGATGCAAAGTATGTAGAGATGGAAACCTTTGCTTTCCACTTTAAAAGAGAGGGTGAATGGGCCAAGAGACTCAGCAGAGACACCTCGTAAAACTGTGCTGCTTTGATAATATTGAGGTCCCATGATTGCCACCATTAGCATGTATCTGATTACAAATTTAGAAAGATAAGAAGGGGAAAGGGGGTATAAATAGGGACCAGAGGAGATGTGAAAGGGGAACCATGCCATTCAGAAAGTTCCGTTCCAGCAAAAGGGTTGCACACCACCACTGAATAGATGCTAGTGATTAATGTCAAACCATATTAATGTCAGAGAGGAGAATTTGGTTAAAGCCTTGCCTGACTAGATCTCAGGCTGCAAATCTCCAATTTCCTTTTTCCCCCCTTAATCCTCCATAATTTCCTCTAATGCTTTAGTCAAGCTTAGGACCATGAGCCTTCAGGGAGCAAAGCAAGGTCCATCTGTGCAGTCAGGAATTTGCCAAAGTAAAAGATCAATCTGGCTTTACTGTAACTTAGCATTTAGTTGACCCCAAATACTTCCAACTGTATTAGCCAAAAATAACTTTGCATTATTGTGAATCATTGTTCCAAAGGAGAGATGTTGGGGACATTGTTTAAAACAAATAATGACTGGGCTACTGATAATCAAAAGAAGAAACAAAATAATAGGTATGTTTCCTTAGAATGTGCTTGCTCTCAAAAAGTTATGTCAAAATAATCATATTGTTTTAAAAGGAAAAACATTTAAGACCTTTTTCCCAAAGGTTTTATTTCTTTTATAAAAGACATAGGTAAAAACTTGCATATTCTGAAAAAGATAGAAAATGGTAATAAAATGGACATTTTTCTTACTAAGAAATATGTTCATAAATATGCTTTATCAAATGTTAAAATGGTTATTACTTTGCAAAATAATAATAAATAGAGCAGAGCTGTGGCATACAAGGGTCAACCCAAAGACTGGAAATATTTATGCTTTGTGTTTTATAAAAATTCAGACCTTTGATTATACTTAAAAATTTGGCATTTTGCACTCTAGGTTATCAATAATTCAGATCTAAAAATGTTTTTATGATGTCCCTATGATTTTAAAAATAATGAAACATAAAAGGTGTTTTGACTAACTAGAATTTGATTAAAATAATTTTCCCCTAAATGAAAAATTTTAAGACACAGAAATAAAGACATAATTGTTGAACCATAAGTGGTACAGGTTATCAGCTCCCAATTCTACAAATTTCTAGATCCCTAATTATGGGCATTGAACCAAAGTTATTTGGTCAGCTTTAGTTTTCAGCAAGGGCCATCATTTCTTTTCACAGCTTGATGGAGCAATAGTCATGATCGTTATTCATGATCATGACCAGTTCTACAATCCTAGCTCCATGAATACACAAGGTGTAAAGCGAGTCATTCTCCCTCCTTTGGATAAATTCTTTGATGATTTTCCTGTATTTGTTTATGACCCACTGGCCTTAAATTCATGTATCAGAACACTGGGCAAAATTTTAATAGTGAAAAATTCTTGTTCTAGTCATTCTTTTGTAGGCTTCAATTCTCTACTATCCAAGGGAGAAAGGAAACACATGTGAACACCAAACACAGCCTCTCATGAGTCTTGGGTGTTCAAGTAGCAAGGTCAGGCTGTTCCTGTAAAGAAACTCTGACTCTTTGCAAAGATGTTTCATTTCCCACACATTATGTCGCCCACGAGGCTAGCACGCTAATTTCCAGCTGCAAAAAAGGAAGCCACATCTAACAATCCTTAAGGATCCAATCTAATATAGATTATTGGTCCCACTGGCCTTCAGTGATGTCTATCAGGGGGACATCTGGATGACTCTGGATGCCTAGAGCACAGAGAGATCATGGCAGGATTTGGACTTGAGCTTGAAGGCCATATTCTTGTTGTTTTTGGCCACGATCTTGCCCCAGAAGCGCCTGGCTTTCCTAGGGATGCTCTCTCTCCTTTTCTGGTAGGCGAGCCGCCGCTCATTCTTCTCTTTGCTGTCCCGCCGAAGGCGGACCTGCCGCACGATGCCCTCGAACAATTCCCTCACATTGTGCTGGACAGCCGCAGAGGTCTCAATGAACTTGCAGTCAAACACCACAGCACACGCTCTCCCTTCTGTTGAGAAGAGAAGAAAGTCAGAGGGGCTGCAGAGAATGACCCTGCACAGCACACAGCTGGAGAACTCCTAATTTTAAACTCTCCCCCAGGTAACTCTAAGTCAGTCATATTTTTGATGGATATAGAAGGCCACTGTGACACATTTCTCCCCAAGGTATAAATAGAGGCAGACAGTCTGACAGGAAGATTCCCAGAAGCAGAAGAGATGGGCTCTAGATCTGACCCATCATAAATTCAAATAAAAATGTATGAAGGCCCAACTTCATCAAATATGGTAATATTAATTATAACAGTAAAAAACCACAGTCTTAATTTATTGCACTTACTAAATGCCACGAACTATGTTAAATACCTCTTAAACATTTTTTAATGTTCACAACAATCTCAAAAACTACATTATTACTTTCAGATAGATGAAGAAATGGGTAGGGGCTGGGGAGTCTTTAAAAAACATGAGAGAGTTCACACAGCATGTAAATTGCAGATGTGAATTCAGGCCTGTTTCATTCTCAAGCTCAAATTCTTAATTCTTCCTCCTGACTCAAGTTTCCTGCACTGAAAATAAGAAACCTACCATTTGGCTTTCCTCTCTTAATAAAAAGCTATAAAACTTTGATGATATATTTTGCAAAAATTTTGAAGATTTCACAAATGTACAATACAGTTACAGCAAACTATACAAACAAGCCTTTCTGGAATAGTCTCAAATTTAAGGGTTCAGAGTTCCTGTCCTTCTTGCATAAAGATGCTACTTTTACTTCCCTGAACTCTTGAGATCTACCTGGAAACTGGAAAGGACAAGGAGAAACGGTTGGGGACCACCAGTAAATCCTTGAGCATGATATTTTCCCTAAAGGAATTTCAGGGAAAGCCTTGGGTATGAAGAAATTGGAATGTGCAGGTAGACCAGATGGACAAGGGGACAAGGAGGGTAGAGATAACCTACTGGGAATGTATGGGTCAGAGTATACATAAAACTACATGTAGCATGTTAATGAGTCCCCTGGCTCCAGCTTCATGAAAGAAGAAGGGAAGAGCACCTGTCTGAAGGAAAATGCAGGGGACCCAGAGGATGTTTCCATGGTAGCCACTCCTCTTACCTGACACAGACACTTCTCGGCACCGCACCAGGTCACTTTTGTTGCCAACCAAAATGATAGGAATGTCCTCTGTCTGCCGGGCCCTGCGGAGCTGGATTCGCAGCTCAGACGCCTTCTCGAAGCTGGCCCGGTCTGTGATGGAGTATACAATGAGGTAGGCATCCCCAACTTGCATGCAGTGGTCCTGGAGCCATTCATTCTCCCCCTAATGAGACAAGAACTTCCATGAGCTCAGGTTAGCCTGATAAATGAGGCAGCAGTTGGCAAAGAAACAATATGTACATCCTGAAACACCCTTGCTCATTTGAGAAAGGAAGGAAACTTATTCCAACTCTTCAGAATACACTGGTCGCCCATGCGGATGTCTGGTGGCTGTGAAGACTGCCAACCCAGAGAGCACTTATGCCAAAAAGATTTTTACTGTCCAATTCTTCTACAGCTTGAGTTGATAACTTACATGACCACTCTGCCAAACAATATTTCCAATTCCTATCGAAACTATCAAAAATGAGTCTTTTCCAACTTCCAAAAATCTCTGCCTTTCCCAAGTGATGAAATTAAGGATCCTTTTGTGAGAATAGGAAGGTTCTCAGAGAACAGAAGGTCTAGTGTAGACACTCAGAAGCCTAAAATCTTTAAAAAGCAAGTGTTGAGGACGAGTACTGAGAATGTCAATTTCATATAATGTGGTTTTATGTAGTTTAAAATGATCATCCACACTTTTTGGTACTTTCTCTAAAACAAATATACTTTCTTTGTATTTTTTTAATAGAACTAAAGGCAAATCACTGCAACTTGCTATTCAGAGTGCATTTGTGAATGATTTGTTCTTTGGAACAGTCTCATAATTCAAAGCTTTTAATAAAAAAAATGGGCCCACCTCATCTGGAACACCAAAAAGGGGCCAGGTCAGTCTTGCATCAAACGGCCTATCGGAAAGCAAGCCTTAAAGAAATTTACAAGAGCTACAGGCTCTGCATACCTTATTTTCCCACATGTCCAGAAGTATAATTGTTGCATTTTCACCATCAACAATCAATGTTCGCTCATATGTATCCTCTAGAAAAGAAAGAGTAGTGACATTGAAGTCAGGGAAAGAGGCAACACTTTTATATAAAAGGGTCATGTAGAAAGTAAACTTACCAAATATACAATGAATTATGTAAATATACAGATATTCACAAAGGCACATTACTCGTTTTTTTAATCACCTTCAATACCATTCTACATATATTCCTCCAGTACTTACCAAGCAGAACTACATCTTCTAAATGTGTTATCGCTAAGCCACTTGAGATGAAAGGCATTTGTTTTTATCCTTCCTGGGCCTTTTATATAGGAAAACCATTTATGAGGATAAACTCACATTAGAGCTTTTGACTCAGATTCAGTGGTTGATGCCCTAAGAAAACACTAACTGCCCAGTGGAACTGTAAGCCCTGTTCATAAGCCTTACATGGGAATCCACTAAGTCTTTCAGTGGGGTGATTACTGAATATTCACTGGCAATTTCAGATCTGAGCTCAGAGACATTTCTCCTCTTTTGAGATGTCCAAAAAAAACCTGAGTGTCCCTGTTTGGGCTCAAGTTTTCTTCCTTAAAAAATACAGTTCCCTAGGAATAAACGGGCTTGCTTTTCCATCTGAGGTATAGCAGAAGTGTAGCCTCCAGCTCTACTAGGTAATGGAAACTTTCCTCCCTGCACTTGGGCCCAGACTGAGTGTAGGTGAAGGGTGAATGCAGTACACTGGGCCAGAGCAGCACTAGTCCAGAAAAATTGGGACCAGGTGTGTGCGGGGGGGTAGGAAGGTGGCGGGGCGGGGGCATTGACTGAGCTAACTGGGATTTTTCCAAGAGGCATTCCCATCAACCCCATAAATTGAGTCCATCCCCACTCTATTTTCACAGTGAAGTTTCCAGTTTTGAATTTCATCACTTGAAAAATACGATTTTCTTAGAGATTTTTTTATTGTTTGTCTTCCTGTTCCTTTTACCTGGAATCTGTTCCCTCAAACATCCAAAAGGCTTGTTCACTTACCTCCTTCTGGGAGAGGCATTCTTTGACCATCTATTTACAATAATAACACCTCTCCCTACCAATATTCCTTATTCCGTTCCCTATTTTTTGTTTCTTCATTGTGCTTACCACCATCTAACATGCAATCCATTTAACCTACTTATTATTTTCTGTCCCTCTTCCTCCCCTCCCTGAACGTTAAGGCACAGATTTGCATCTGTGCTGTTTATTGCTATGCCCCCAGTACTCCAGAGAGGACCCAGTGTGCTAGAGGGATGCAGTAAATATTTATCAAATGAATGAATGGATGGTAAACACGGCGTTGAGGCTGTGAGCACAAGCAAACCTGAATTAGAA